ACCACTTCAGGTTAAGTTTTCTTCAGGATAAAGAATGTAGATTTTTTTTTTTTTCTTCAGACTTCTGCAAGTTTTCCAAGAAATCTAACAATCCCAGACAAGATCTAATAAGTCTGCATTTATTGTGAAGCAGCACAGTTCATCTTGCTGCCTACAAAACTAAAATATCTCCCAAACCCAGTGGATTGCTGTTGATAAAAAGATCTGTGGTTCCTAGAGTAACCCCAGAATATCTTTTATAGGTGTTACTTGTTGTTCTCCTCTTTTATCGCCTGTGACGCAGCTGAGGAAGGAGACAGATGATGGCTTGAGGTAATGAATACCCAGAAATACTCCCTTGGCTTTTCTTGTGCTGGATCTATAGTCATGTTGGACTGTGAACTCAAGGTCTGTCCTGATGTCTGGTGCTGGGGATCTGCAAGGACTGAGCTGCACTTGGGTTTGACAGGCAGGCCAGGTAGAAAGAGGCTGCACATGCTGCAGCCAGGAAGGTGTCCCATGGGAATGCAGGAGAAGGAGCCCCAAAGCCAGTCCTCAGGGCGCTCCTGCAGATCACTAACATGGGCGGGCAGCTAATCTGATCTCGAGCCCACCTTCCTGGCCATTGCAGATGGAACTAAACCTGCCAAAGATATTCTTGGCTGTCATATGGCAACATGCACCACTGTTGGGAAGATCTGAGCTGTGACACAGGACACCCAGCTTGCCAAAGTGCTGGAGCAGCTCTTCAGAGATGAGTGCTTCTACAGTAATTCTGTATAATACAGCTTCTCCCCAAATTCTGGGTGTCCCAACTCGACCTCTCAGCTACATAGTTTAGATGGAGGAGAGTTCTCCTCATGCCATGGTAGAAAGCTGAGAGGCTGACTTAAACCCTTCAAAAGGACGTCACTGACCTCAAGAAGGTCTGGTCCTGCCCTCAGCCAGCAGACAAGGTGGGAGAAGCAGAACAGTCACCCTGGCCTCGCCAATAGGAGAGAAGGTCTTCTTGCCTTGATGCTGCTCCTCAGCAGCATCTTTGATTCCTTTTCTTGCAGTCAGAAAATTTAGAATAGCTCCTACTAAAAATAAGCAGATTTTTCAATTTTTTGAGCTTTCACACTGTGCATTCTCAGAGCTGGGAATCACAATTTCTTCATGGGAATTTAGATAAACAGTGGTGACAGAATTAAATCTATTGAGTACACTAGTAAAGGGCAGAGCATTAGCCGTCATATATCAGAACTCTGATGGGGTCTTAAAGGACTGAGTTAGAAGGGTTATTTTAGGTCCAGGAAGAACACATTTCTGAGCCCAGAAACTCCTTTGAGTTAGTTATGATTTAAAAAAAAAAAAAAAAAAAGCGAACTAAAGAGCATATAATCTCATTTTAACAATGTTATCATTAATAAAACACACAGAGATGCAGCAGGAACATTGTACTGTGCTAGTATTGTGTTCTCACCTTTCACAAGCATGTTTTAGACAGAGATGCTAATCTCACAGGAACACTTCTGCTTCCTGCATGAATCTGACACTTTAAGGCAGATGTGGATAGAGATTTTTGTGCTGTGCTGAAAGCATCAACTAGTTTTTTTGTTACTTCACTAAAGAAAGTGGAAGTATTTAATGATGGGCTGGTGTGTAGGAGCAGTGACATTTCTGTGCTACTATTCATCATGAGCAGTTTGGGCGCCCTACGCTTCTCTCTTTGTCCCAGTGCCCTATTTCAGAGCAGACTCTCACACATCTATTCTGGTTATTTGTAACATAGCAAGACTGCTGCATTTAAAGTGCACATGGCAATTTCATGGGGATCTGAATCCTGCCTTCTATCAACAAATTTCAGAAGTCTGATCAAGGTACCCTGGGGGTTGGCAGCTTCAGAGAAAAAAACAGACAAGAAGTTGGGAGGGGAAAGGAAAAAAAAACATCAATTCCAAAATTTTGCAGACTAAAATTAGAAGAAAATCTTGATTCAGATCAAAACAAAATACTGTTTCATGTCATGGGGGAAAAACTCCCAGTGTTTTCCACCAACTCAAGTATCATTATTAACAGAGACTGACTTTTCTCACAGTGAATATGGCATTCGTGGAAATGCCAGTGATGGTCATAGGAAACTGGCCATGACTTTTTGGTCTGAATGAGATGTTTGGGGCTGGACTCCCACAGCTGCTGAGCTGAGGAGAGTCTTTGTCCCGCTGTGGGTGTGCAGAGAGCCAGGGGGTGGAAGACTCTCAGTCCTCTCTGCTTTGTGAATAATAACGAAGTATTTGTTGGTCCATGGAGAGTGAGAACATCTTGCCAGCCTGGGGGTTATGGTCCTTCCTGTAAGGATGGGGGTCTTGCTCCTGTGTGTAACAGCCAGTCCATAGGTGTTCTCCAGGAGAGAGGTATGAGGGGCCCCAGAGACACCTTCTAACCTGCTGGTGTGGGAGACTTCCATGGGTGAAGGCAGGACTCAGACCAAACACCCGATGTCCTAGATGAGCCTCTGCCCTGGGGTGTCAGTTAGAAGGGTTAGAGGGTCTCCTCCCTCCTAAGGGCCAAGAACCCAACTTTGTAACAAAGACCTAGAATGAAAGCAGAAATTTTGTTACAGCTGTAACAAAATGTTCCTGGCTAATCCAAAACATAACACTTTGCTGTGAGAAAGAGGGAAAATACAAGTGGCTTGATCTGAATTGATTATAAAATAGTTTTCTGGTTCAATGATTTAATTGAAAACACAGTTGTTCTTGCAGCAGAAATTGTTATCTGGGTTTCTCAGTCAGAAACTGATAAGAGCACGGGATGGACCCTGTTCTGACCGGAGAGCGGCTGCAAGGCACTGGCACAAGTGACCTGAAAGGTGGGCACAGGTCCTGCACCGCTCCTCAGCCAGCAGCTGCCCCTGCGAGCAGGACCACCACACGCCATTTCTTTACATGCCCCATTTGGCAGATGCTTGTGGCAGCGTCAGCTCTCGGGTGAGCTCAGGACAAGCCACCTCATTCCTGACGGACTTGCTGAAGCTCCAGGTGGTGTTCAGCAGGACATGACAAAGCCCCCGCCATGGCTGTGGGAGCAGTGGCCGCTGCTGCGCAGGGAACACTCGTAACCCGCATGTGGTGACAAGGGGCAACACGCTGTCTTCATGACCTTCCCTTGGACGTGAGCAAGCGGTGGGTAAAGTGATGGTGGGTTTCTGGAAAGGGAACAGCCCAGCTGGGAGCGCACAGCGGGGGGAGGATGTCAGCTCTTAGTCTGAGCAGGGAGCTCTGGATGGAGCTGGAGGAGCTATCTCCACCTGTGGTCCCTGCTGCCAGGCGGCTCTGCCCTGCCGGGGTCACAGGCCAGGGCAGCAGGCAGATGGTCTATTAGCTCAGGTCCTGACAGGGAAGGCGGGGTGGTGGCTTCCTGAGGTCTTTTTCATCCTGGCTGTCTGTGGGAATTACTGGCATCCCATCACTATCCGCTGATCTCATTTTCACTGTTTCCCCTTGCCCTGTGTTGCAGGGAGCCAAGGAACAGAGATGTGCGGGTGTTCCCATGGGAGCAGGGAACATGCTCCAGCAGTGGGTCCAGCTGTGCCTCCCACGGGGACAGCCCGGCGTTGGGGTCAGGGCTGTGCTGAGGTCCTCTCCAGCCGCAGGGTCAGACCAGCTCTGGTGCAGCCTCTCCACAGAGGGATCCGACGGGCTGAGCTGGGATCCCGTAGTGGTTGCCCTTAGGGCTCAACCCTTTCCTAAGACCTTTGACACTACAGGGTTTTAATGCAGCATTTGAAGACCTCTTGTAAGTGTGTCTGCTCATGTCCTCCTGCTGTGGGGATGGGTTTGCTGTCTATGCTGGAGCTTGAGCATGAGACTACAACAGAGCAGAGAGAAGGCAGCGAGGGTGCTCTCAGGATAAGTTAAGAGTGGGATGAGACACCCATGACACAGCTCTTACACCAGTGCATGCTTGATTGCTAACACAGAATGAACCAACTTCAGCAACAGTTTTGTTTTCTCTCAGCTGAAGCCGGTCTTTCTCACTGTTCAGCATCCCAACCGTCAGCAGTCAGTTGGGTTGTACCTCCACAGCTCTGTGCATGCAGTGGGGAAGGACTTGTAGAGCCACAGTCCAACACAAGCACCACCACAGATCTAGCCCGGTCTGTCCCTTCTCTGGGGACCTTGTAGGGAAATGAAGGGCCTGGCTGGGTGCCCAGGTCCTCTGCGGAGATGGAGCTAACAGCACCAACGCAGGGCTCACTTCATGAACAAGGTGCTTTTGCCCTGGAGTCTGACTCCCGGGTACTGTGCCCAGTGATGTTGCTCCTCCCCTCCAAGCGGGGAGGTTAAAATGTGTCCAGCTGGAGCTTGAGAGGAAGCAGAGGGGGCTTGGAGAGCCAGCTGGGCTGGTGCCTGCCTGCCATGGTCCGCTCTGCTCCTCTGCTGATGGGCTGGTCGCTGCTCTCGAGTTCAGGCTGTGCCTGCCCCATTTCACTAGGCATGAGAGCCCGAGACGGGCTGCACTAGAAATCTGGAAAAATTAAGTCTGGCAGGGATCCCTGGAGGTTTCTAATCCAACCTCCTAATGTCAAAGCTGGGGCAGGTAGCTCCTGGCCTTGTCCAGTCATTTTGAAAATCTCCAGGGTGGAGACTCCACTATCTATGGGCACCTGCCCCAGTGCTCCAACACTCTTAAAATGACCTGTAAGCATGGCACAGATAAACAGAGGGCCAGGGAGGAAGGACCCGCTCTCCTCATGGGCAAGACAGTGCTGAAGCTGCAGTGCGCCTCCCCACAGGATCCCAGTTCTCTTCTGCTTTCCCACCAGGACCCCCAGCCTCCAGAACACCATCACCCATGGCATAGCCCGGACCTAAGTGGTGCTGGCTGGTGCCCCCGATGCTGAGGCTAAACAGAGGGAGTTAAAGGACTAAAGGATCACCTCCCTGTGGGGGTTTAATGAGACCAGCTGGTGGATATATTTTCCTCCTGAGCTGGAATTAGAGCTGTCTGGAAAGTGTACTGTATTTCCCATGAAAGTTTCAGAGGATGTGCACACCTTTCACTTGCATTACCATTTCATGTGCTCTCACAGCTCTCCAAGAAACAGCTTAGCAGGTAAGTACAACTAGAATTTAAAAAAATCCAAAATATCATACTTCTTTGTCCAAGACATCTTACAAACTTAGACAAAATGAGAAGTCTCCCCAGAAGCTTTGGTTGTAAGAGATGAGTTTTGGTTTGGTTGGGTTTTTTTTTTTTTTTGGTTAGTTTGTTTTTCAAAAAGCCATTTTATGTCAAAACAAAGAAATAAAGCTTTTCAATCAGCTCAGGGGACAGTAAAGCACAGAGCCTGTGGGTTTCCCTTCTGCATCTCTGAGTCATTGTGAGAGTGGAGGGTCTCTATTTTTAGCCTCTGCACACACTAACTGATACCAGCTACAGAGCCAAGTTGATCTTCAGCACTGGGTTACCGTTGCGAAACCTTGGCACTAGCACAGTCGGGTCTGGGCTTGGGTGCACAGAGTGGCACCTTTGAGGAGAGGAGCAGCAGAAGGAGGGGATGGAGACGTGACCATCCCATCCAACCTGGGTGCGTGGCAGCGGAGCTGCTGTGTCAGATGACAGCCACTATGGCTGTGCAGGGACTAGTCCCTCCCTGCGATACCCTCTGTGCTGGAGCAGGAGGGCGGATGGGCAAGGAGGGCCAGTTCTGCGCAGGGACTAGTTGCCATGTTCGGCTCATAATTTTTCTCTGGAAACGTAGGAGTTTGATTTTACCATGTTTTTTATGGTAACTGTAGCAGAAAGTTTTGGGTTTTATTTAGAAAGTCCAACCACCCAAACCTGACAACCTGAGAACTATTTGGACTTGAGCTTGGCACAACTATGCCTTTTGGGAGAAAAATGCCTCGTGGCCCTCTCCTGCCTGGGCTGGTTTCCCTGGTGGGACTGCAGATGGGATCAGAATTTTTACTTGCTTTATTTGTGAAGAATCAGCTTTGAAATATAGATGAAACATCTTTTCCTCTACCTTTGTTTCAGGAGCTGAGTTCAAGGAGCCGATGTGTTTTAAGTAGCTTTATTAGGTGCAAAAGAGCACAAGAACAGGTGATGGAGAGTGTCCTGCCTCAGGCCTGACGTGGCCTTGCAGATCAAAGAAGTGGCCATTTTTGAGCATGTGAGTTAATTCTGGGTGGAAAAAAAAATGGCTTTCTCAGTAAAGCTGTTGGGCATGCCCACAGATGTCAAACAAGGAAGAGAGAGACTTCCACGGCCCACCAGGGTGGTTCTGTATGAGGAAACAGGAGGCTGTGTAGTTGCTCGTCTGTGGGCTGTGTGATATGTGGGTTAGCATGGGGAGGAAGGCGGCAGGTACATGGTCAACCCAAATGGATAAAGAAGAGATGTTGTAAAAATAGCTCACTGCTGAAGAGACTTGTGGTGTAGGTAACCTGCCGGAGACATACAGCTTTTGCTGTAGGATGAATGTAGTTGCAGGCTGCCTGAGAGATGCACATCTCAATCATTATATGACAGACACTGCACAGTCTCCACAGCAGTGTGCTCATTAACCATGGCTGAAACTGCCACAAGACCAAATCCAGCCTTGGAAGGGTATGTGTGAGATGGAAAAAAACCTCTAAACAAGCCCTTCATGCCCCTTTCTGTCCCAAGAGATACTGTTTCTGTAGACTTGACAAAAAGTCCTGAAGCAGAAAGAGAAAGAAGGGACTGGACAAACTCAGTTCCTCTCTAACTCATATACAGTCACTTTCTTCCCTGAACCATTTTAAGAAGTGTAGAACAGCAGGCTTTACTCATCATACTTGATTGACTCTGGCATTACTCCTGATGTGCTCCAGCACAACTGGGATAGGGACTCTAAAATCACAGCGTAATTCAGAAAGAACTCACTGCAATGTTAACACAGGTTGCTCAGAGTCTTGTCACAGGCATATTTTGCAGATTTTAAGGACTGAGACTCCATGGTCCCTCTAGGCCCCTGTCCCAGTGCTTGACCACTGGAAGAAGCTCATGAGGAGCTGTCTGGTGATCCAGCTCTTTACAGGTAATCTGTGTGAACCACATCATTCCAGCCAGAATTTAATGGTTTTTAAACATGCCTCAGTTTTTCTTAGCCAGAGGGTTCAAGCAGTCACAGGTGCCCACCTGGAGTGGTCTAGCCAAGCTTTGCATTTGGTTGAAGATGGCCTGTGTCATCCAAGGGTCACATCTCCCTTCCCCATCTCCCTGGGGTTGGTCTGCTCGTCCCCACTCCCCTGCTCAGGACAGCTGTGGTGGACAACTCTGCCAGGGCCTGCCTTACCCCTCTAAGGGTGAGGCCACCTGGAGACCTTCTGCTTCCTCCAGGACCTCAGCACACAGGGACTTCCACAGCAGTTTCCAGAGAAGGCTCTGCCCTCACTCCTTGGTTGGTGCCATCATTCAGGCCCATGTACAGAGCCCTGGCTTTATCTCTGTATCACCTGGTACAGCTTTGTCTCACCTAGAGGATAAGGAGAATTCAATAGTGAGGGCAGCATATTTTCTTTCCAAACAAATGCTAATGAGCCGGCATAATAATCAGTCTCCAGGAGCCCAGATTGTCACACCGGCGCAGAGGGATGCCTGGCAGAGCCCATGGTGGATCCCTGGTGGGTGACCTTGCACGGGCTTTAGAGCTGCTCTGCCTTATGAGGAGGACATAGCTTAACCCCCGGCAGTGCCAGCTGGGAGATGCACCAATGTAAACAACTTCCCACTGGACTAGGTGTCCATTTTCAGCCTCCTGGGGAAATCTAAATACAAATAATATTTCCCCATGAGTGCAGAAACCCCCTTTGCTCTTGCTCCTCTGCTGTCTCCTGTTGCCCATTAAAAATCAGAAAAAATGTGAAACTTAGAGGGGAGTTGGAAAAAATTGAAAATAATATTTGCAAAACAGAATAAAACCTAGATTTTTTTTTTCCAGGTGCAGAAACAGTATTTTTATTCAGAAATTTTTATTTCAAATAGAACAAAATGCCATTTTTGCAAGCAAGTCAAAATTCCCAGTGGCTACCATTATTCTAATAAACATGAAAAGGAAGTTTGCGTCTTATTCTGATGGTAGGTAAATCATGTGAGCTCACACCTAGGCAAATGTGTTTTCCTACTCCTGGTGACATACTGCAGTATGACAAGGGCCAGCTTTGGGTCTGTGCTTGGCTTAGGCAATCCTGTACCGGTGCACAGAGTAGCTGAAAACCAAAGTAGCTGGATGACAACTCTTCTCAAACAGAGGGTCCCTCCAGTCTGTAGCTCATTTTGAGTAAGTCGTAGCATTCTTTCATGGTGCTGAAAATGGTTGTGATTAAGCAGAAATTACCTCAAACAGGCTGCCTCTCAGGTTCCAACAAGTGCGTAGACAGCAGCCATGCCACAGTGACAAACCTCATGAGGAAGTTTGCAAACAGACGATCCCTCAGACGGTCTGCTTGGAAACCGTGGGTGTCTCGTCTCCTCTGGGGACGCACTTGCATTTCCTATGTAGTCTTCATTGTCACCTGTGACTCTCTCTTGTGAGGATCTTGTACAAAGTCCATGTCCAGTGGTCAAAACCTCTTTTCTGGCAGCTCCAGTCCATGTTCTTTCCTATTACAAAGGTGGTGCGAGTACCTGGGCAGTAAGCAAGTCCCACAGGGATGCAAAGACCTTCATTGAAAGAATGTGGAAACATCCTTCCTGCATGTGCTGCTCGGTCTGATGCACTGCCCATGCAGCTCCTACAGAAAAGCCATCAAGACGGCTGACAGCGCGCAGACCATATCCAGAGACTTTGGGAGCAACAGCAGGACCTGAAGCATTTGTTGTGCTCTTGATGAGGCTGCTGCTTCAGCTGAGATGGTTTGATGGTGCAGGAGGAAGAGGTCCATGTCTCCATACCCCTGTTTCTCAATGGGTCCGTTTGTTCTGTCCTGTTCCAAGGCTCAGCTGGCTCATTCCTGGCCCTGGCAGTGACAGACTGAGTAGTCATCCCACCAAACCAAAAGCAAACTTCTCTTGGCTTCTGATGGCCTCTTACACTGGCCTGTTTCCCAGAGGAGCTGCACCGAGCATGCCCCTGAGATCTCCCACTTCCATCACGTGGCTTGCAGTGATGTAAATCCTGGGTGTGAGGGTCGAGAAGACCTTTCTCTGACGGGATGCAGAGCACTTCACACAGCTCTATGAATGCCTGAGAGCTGTGAAACACTTGATACCAGGAGCAGCTTCCTGGCTGCAAAACCCCTAAGCCACAGAGACTAGCACAAGAAATGAAAGACCACTGGGGACACACCTAAGTTACATTTTTGTTTCTAGGGAAATTTTTTTGTTTCTTCTGTTTCCCAGGTCCAGAAATCTGCTTTTTTTTTGCTGCTGTGAGAGCCTCAAAGCTCTAACACTTTCACATAGTCCCACCACCATGTTTGTGAACACACAAAAGACAAAATCAGGAAACCTAAGTTTAGTTTTCAGTTGTGGATGATGCAGCTGAGAAGAGGGTAGTCCACAGACTTGCCTGTCACTAACCTTTGCTATTGTCTAGATAAAACATGAAGCAGCCCCAAGAGATGGGAGGCTGCCCAACATCCAGGCTGGAATCACAGAAAACATTCCCCAGCTGTGGCACTCCAATAATTAACAACTGGGAATTTGCTGCTGTTTGAGGAGGCTGCACTAATTCCATCTTTATCAGATATTGAGCTGAAATTAATTACCTCTTGCCATGTGTGTGTGCAGTGCTATCTTTTGGGGTATTTGCATAGATCAGTGCTAATTTTTTCTATCTTTCTCAGAGGGTGCTTTGTCCAGTGGTGACTCAGACCTGCTCAGGCCGCTGACCTGCAGCAGGGAATGGTTTTTGTGAGTGTGCCAGGTGTGTTTCTCACACCATTTTCTGGAGAAGCAGTCCCATGGGCTCAGGCCTCTGGCTTCCAGCAAGAAGAATGTTTCTTGTTCTTCAGTGACCTATTTTTGCTGGTTGCATTTTCACTTTGGACTAAGCCATTCTTCTCCCGCTTGCTACTCCCATGTCAGAGCTGTTAGTGCTTCCTCTAGATTAGCCCAACAAGTCTGTTTCATTTTTTAATCTTATCCCTTAAACTCAACATGGATTTTTAACTTCACTTTCTAGCTTGTTTGTGACAGCCATTGGCCCTTCTGCTTTATTAATGCCAGAAATTCCTTAACTACTGGCATGTTTCTTACGGTTGTTATAACCCTGGAGCCCCACAGGCAATATAAACTTCGCCTGCCTTTTACAAAAGCTGATTGCTGGGCACTACATGACCACAAGCTAGTGGGCAGCCCCCACATTACTTTCTTTGCTACGTGGAGTCATGCAGTTCCACTGGCGTGAGATGAGATCTAGCTTTGGGAAACACAATGCTGTGGGTCCCTGGAGGAAAGTCTTCGCCAAAGCTGCAGCAGCCATGTGTAGGGACGTCTTTTGCTCTAGAAGACTTCCCTTCCCCTGGCTGTGCTCAGGAAATGTGATTCCTTGTTCTTTCATGATGCAAGGAGGGTTTCCACTCTGGATAGCTATAGATTATGGAAAGGCTCAGTACACCTCCTGCCAAAACCCACAGGACCCTCCTGCTGGCAATAGGGAGGACCTGTGCTCATGTGTGGTTACTTTCTCCTGTGCCAGGTCTGTGGTGTCTCACATCTGGACTGTTGGCAACTGCCTTTTTCTTGTGGCCAGAAAGCACTGACTGCAGACCTACGACCCTCAGAAGGTTGGGGATAAGTGGGCCAATAAACTCCTGTTTGTAAGCTCTGTGTATACAGGGGTGTCCTTTGTTCACTCCATCCTTGTTGGAAGAGCACGTCTGCCCTTCACTAGCACTCAGCAGTGGTTACACCACTTGGATCATGCTTCATTTGTGAATATATTAACAAAACTCTTTAACAACAATAAACTTTAAATAACGAGTGGCAACTGGTGAATGGAGCCTCCATCTGTTCTCACCCACGATGTGCAAAGTCTACCAAAGTCAATGGACTTCTCTCTGCTGAATTCAATGGGCCTTTTGCCAAAATCTGTGTGAATAAAATGATGCTTGTGCATATATTTATGAATGGTGAGGAAGGGGATATGTGCAAAACCAGCATCCACTAAGCACTCATGAAACTGCTCCTAATACAGTTTTTGGCGAATCCCAGCAATTGCCTGTCTGAAAACTTCTTGTCCTCTTGGTGCAGGAAGAAGAATTCCATAGCCCTGGGACACCACCTGTGCTTCATCAGAAGAGACTCACATCAGAAAGCAATGGCATTGCAAAGGACACAGCTTCCCTGGTGCAGAGGTGGATTTTGAAGACTTCAGCACTGTACCTGTGACTAGACTAATTTGCTCTGGGATTTCTTTACTGCAGACGATTGCTGCTGTCACAGTGTTTATCTAGTTATAAAAAATCCAGTGTTGTTGTGATTCCTACCAAGGAAGATGAAGCTTGGGGAAGACTTCTGTGTAACTGCATGTTCATTGATCTGAAGTCATCAGTTTCCCCTAAGCTGTTGAAGGGACACATACGGAGTCAGCACATAATGAGGTCAATTAGGGATGACTTTAACGTCCCTCTGGAAGGGCACGTATTCTTCAGTCCCTCCAGATACCCACGTGGACATGCTGTGTTGCCTGAGCCAGGTGGAGGGAAATAGCAAAGAGTTAATCTGTATTTGTTATTTGATATAACCATTCAGTATTAGTCCTCAAATGATGTCTGGCAGTTTGGGTAAAACATAAGCCCCAGTGCACTATCTCCCACCCGAGCACTAGCAACCCTCCTTTTTTTTTTTTTTTTTTTTTTTTTTTTTTTTGTTCTGTAGCAAGTGGACAGAAGTCCTGACGGCATCACAGGATCTCTCACAGTGGAGCTGAGAGCTGGGTAGGGACAAGGGCCCTTGTAACACATTGCCTGAAGGTGTCTGACTCCCGGCCTATTCACAGAAGCCATCAATGCAAAACAGCTTTTTTTTTATTTGCTTGCACCTGCCCTGATCTCTTCTGCCTCCCCTTTGCATTTGTCCCTGAGTCTGAATGACAAAGATAAAATTCTCCTTTACATATGCTGCTCCTAAGGTATTTGTGATTGTCTCAGCTTCCCTTTCCAAGGTGTGTGTTGTAAGAAGAGACATAAATAAAAGGAGCCCAAGGGCTCCATGTCTGCATGCTGCTGCCTCCTCCCTGACCCCTCAGACTTCACAGCAGTCAGCACTTAGTCCTCCTGCAGTGGTCCTCCCCATTCTCCTCCTGGGAAGAACGGTTCATTTCACTCAGCAATAAAGAGGAAAAGAAAGTTTCCTTAAAGTTGTAAAATATGGCTGAAAGCTACAAGAATGAAGATGGATAGGAAGAGGTTTTTAACTTCACCGGAGAATTTTAGGTTGATGATGATTCCCAACGTAAGCACCAGTGAGGTACACCTGCTGTCTCAACCCTTCTCCCCACAGCTTTTTGGAGTGATGCAGATGTGGTTACTATGGGATTGAATTTGTTATTTATTTGCTTGTGTGTAGAATTGCTGAATTGTGCATTGTAGCTTTTCAAGATCTTGGGCAGAAAGCAGTGAAGTTGGTGCACTGGGAAAAGACTTGAACCTATCAACTCCCTCCTGCTGGTGGGTGCTGGGGAGGTCAGTGATGGATGGAGGCATGTCTCACAGCACCTTGCATGAGCAGCACCGGCTCATTTTATTTTTCTCTGGCTCTTGGTAGTGGTTGTCTCATCAAAAGCAAACATCTTAATGACTTGAGCTATTCAGTGGATTTCCTCTCTATTATCCTGGGTAAGCTATTTGCTCTATTCACAAGCTGGCAAGCATTCCAGGTCATCTGAAATGCTTTGTAAACTTTTGCACATCATTAGATCTAAGTAGAACGGTTGGTTATAAAGCAATGGAGAGGAGTTAAAAAGCAATTTACCTTTTATGAGAAATGCAGGAACAGCGATAAGCTCTTGTCTTCAGTAGAGGATCTGTGAAGCAGTGAGCCAAGAAGTTTAACATCAGGAGAAATCACAGGCTTTTTTTCCCCAGGTGAAATTTTGCTATTTTCCTGCTTGTGGGTGATATCATATACCATAATAACCCCCACACCCCTCCCCACGGTGTCATTCGAGCTGACACTCTGCAAACCATCACCTAAAGGTCAATTGCTCTGTGTTTCACCCTTGCAGGCAGAGCTTTGCTGTGACACCGGAGTCACTGCTTCAAGGCAGAGCGGCTCGGGGTCAGCTCCCTGGCAGATGGCACCTGCCTGCTGCTGCCCTTTCTGCCGTTCAGTCGGGTTACCTCTTCGTGTGCAGCACTAACGCAGCAGCAATGGTGCTGAGCACGGACGGGAAAAAACCCGCCGACAGGCTGTCCTGGGGCTCTGCGCAGCCTCGGTGCCACGTTTTTGTTTGTATAAATCAGATCTCTGTTCATACTGCGAAATGAAGTTTTCCGTGGTATTTGAACTAGGAGTTCGTCCACTACGGTTCATCACAGAGACGAGCAACACAGCTCTTCTGTTCACTTTCTGTGTTTGGACGTGCTGAATCTGTGCCCTCGCCAGAGAAGCTTGTGCATTAAGCCTGTCCACAGGGCAAGTCATTTTTCTATTGCTGACAACAATTTTGTACCTAGCTGACATGTTCAGTACCATGCTAATCCCAACCAGACAAAACCACCGAACAGGGGGAAGAAGACAGCCACAGCTTTTATGTTCCACCACCTTTTGCAGTGCCTCCAGGAATATGGTCCAAGGATTTTCTGTCTACATTTGCATAGAGGCAGCCTTCTTCCTTGTTCTACAGGTTTAAAATTGTTTAGTTGTTTGGGGTTTTTTTTCCTTATTTTGAGTCGATGAGATGACTAATTATATATAAGTACTGGAGAACACTGTGCCTGCAGCAAGCAGTCCAGAAGCTTTCCGAAGGCAGCAGGCTCTAGCATTCCTGGCTGCTGCAGCAGAGTTATGGGGAGTAAAATCAGAGCGAATAATAATCAAACACCTCTTCTGCACCATTACAGTGGCTGAGTAAACAATGCCAAGAAACAGCCCAAACCACTGTGGGCATGGCTCGCCTGGGCCAACTAATGCTCTTCCAAATTACTTCTGGGCGTGGTTCAGGACTCCTTGTAGAGCAGATACCAGTCCCGTTAGACAGGCTGGATCTTCATGTTGCTCTGGAGGCTCAGAGCCAAGGTTGTGGGGAGGGTCTGGGCTGCTTGATCTCATGCCAGTCATTTGGGAAATGTTTAATTCACTCATAAGGACCTGAAAAGATTGTGGATGTGGGTATCTTTTGCACTGACAGATTTCAAGGATAGTATTGTTGTCATTAGAAAGCTAAAGATAAGCTGATTGAAAAGAACTAGCAGAGCTGAAAAACTCCACAAGCAAAGGTAAGAATGTGGCTCATTAATAAATTGGAGCAAGACAGATGGTTCAACTGGCAGGACAGTATTTTACTAAAGCTTGGCTTTTGGGGCAGGTTTTCACAGTAATGCTGGACAGCCAACCCAGGTTCCTGTTCACAACATGAGTCCTGGTTAGTTTTTTCTGTCCTTGTGGCAGAGCAGGAGGATGTGCTGGGCATAGACTTGGCAGAGGGCCTGTGCTTCCAGTTTTGGCAGCATGGCTGAGTCCTGATAGCATCAATAAATGATGTAGATGTCCAGAAGGCAGCAGTGTCCATCTGGCTGTGTGTGTTGATCCCTAATTTGGACTCTTGGGCTATTCAGCAAGTCTGCCCTTTAAATGCTCATTCTGGGGTGATGCTCTGCAAGGCTCAGAAACAATCCTGGGTGTCCAACGATCCCATCACCTCCTTGGCAGATCCTATGCACTCTCTTCTCATGGCCTGCAGATAACTCCTCAGGTCTGTTTCCCATCTATCTCTCAGCCCAAACACTAGCCGCACATCTGGACACAATTATCCACCATTCAGAGCCTCCTGAGTCCTTACAGAGAATCACTCCTGCATGACCAGGAGCTCAGCTGGCCACAGCCTTACACACTGCTCCTCAACCTGCACCTACAGCCTTGCTCTGGAGCACACAGGGCAAACATACTCTCCATGAGCCCCTTGTGTGAGGGGAAGGACCACCAGGACATCACTGGCCCGTGCATCCTGCTGGATTTCAGGCAGCGAGAGTACCTCCTGAAAGAGGTCTTGCTGAAATTGGCCTGGAGGGTCTCCCTCTCCCAAAGGCACAGCCCTGTCAGGCTGGAGTTCAGGACATGCTTCCTAAGACACTTAAGACACATTTCTAAGTTTTTCATGTCAATCAGGATGGCATTAAGCCAGCTCATTAGTAAATGAAATGGGGGGGCAGATCTCTAGCTCAGGGCATGGCTTTGCCACTCTTGTTGGAACCCGGCTTGAGAGCAGCTCTGGTGTTTGCTGGCCGCTGTGAGGTTCTGCCCCACACTCCTGGTTTAATCATCCGTTCTGGTGAAGGCACCCAGCCCCATGGGCTGTTGATTAAAACTAGACTATGGGTGGCCAAAGAGTTGGGGCACAGAGCCCAAGGGATTTCTCCAGCTGGATCACCCAGCTCGGACCTGGAGATGACTCCTCACCAGGCAGATTCCTGGAGAGTCGTCTTGCTGCTGTGGGAGCTGCACTTCGGTCATCTCCTGCCCAATGTAGTCATAAGGAGATAAGGACATTACTGCAGCCTGCTCGCTTTTACACCTAAGGGCTTAATTCCTGGCTCCTGTGTCTTGACTGGGATGATGGAGAAATTCTAACTGTACCTCTGATAATTTGTGACAGAGGAATGATCTGGCATGGAGGGCAAAAAAGCATAAATACAAGAAGGGGTTAAACTGGCTGGGAGCAGGAATGCCAGAGACAGAATGACTCCTTGCAAGGAATTGGTGCTGGTGCAAAGGTATATAAGGAATCCGCTTGTAATGCATCTTTGCAGACTCCATGCAGAACCACATCTTGTGGTAGGACTCTCCCCAATTATCATTAAGTTTTTCTTTTATATTTAAGCACAAACACGTGTTTAATTCACCTTAAGGGGTCTCATAAAAATTCCCCATCAAGGACATTTTCCTTCTTAAAGAGTCGTCAGTCTGGATTTGTGCTCACACCAGTTACAGTGCCCAAGAGCTTGGCTGGCACATTAGCAAGGGCAAGAGCTTGCCAACTAAGGAGACATCCCACTTCCACAGTGCAGCATAACTTACAAATGCACCTCTCACATATGCACCTCTCACCGACTTTCCTCCCCTGAGGCATGTCTGGAAACACCAGCTATGCTCCTTGGTTGCTTAGAAGTGAGGCTTTCCTCTGCCTACGCCTCATCACAGCAGAGCTGGGTGAGAGTGAGTCTCACTCAGGGTATCAGTATAGACATGGTTTCAGGGTGTGTG